TTATCCACTAAGACTACTATGATAGTTAATGTTAAATAAATCTTTCATTTAAAAAGTATTTATTTATTAACTTTTGTTATGTTTTTACTATATACTAGTCCATAACTTTTTTTATAATTATTTTTCTAAATATTTTATTCATGTTTATGATATACAATACTTATTAATTTAATAGCTCAATTAGTAACTATTTACAAATAATTAGTTATCATGGTATTGTATGGTGAACTATGTGTCACTTTATGAACTTGTTGAAACTTAAAAATGAACGATGCTTGAGAATCACAATTAAATTGTGAATTATGTTTTTATATAAATTCTATTTCAAATACAAAGCATATTAAATAAAAGGAGTATTTTAAGAAAAATATCAAATTATAATATCGCAATTCTTTCAAGATTCATTACTCCTTAAGAGATACATATAAGATTTCGTATCGAATACATTACTTTTGATGTTTGAGCTGTAACGACGTTGCAGCTAATTTGCATATTATGATATATGTCATACTTTTCGTATTATTCGTAGTTGAATTATAATTTATAAATATTTTTCAATAGATTATTTGTATTATTTTGTGATTTTAACGTTATTTTTGTAATTATTTTTTATTTTATACTATCTTAAAATTCTAAATTAGTAAAATTTAAAGATCCGTGGGACTTACGCCCCATGTCTCAGGGCTTACGCCTCGCCTCGTCAGAGGTAAAACGTCTCGCCTCACGCCCCCGCCTTTTAAAACATTGGTCCAGATATTGAGAAAACAGATGGTCTTAATTGTCTAACATTCCTATTAAAAAATATTGTATATATTCAAATTTAGACTTTTTAATAAATTAAAAAAAACAAAAAACAAATATGCGTTCATTTGTTGTTCACTCATATTAGATAGTTCTAGTTCCTTTGACATCTCTCTTCACGAGCAATTCATAGTTCTTCTTCCATGAAGCAAATCAAATTGTTTCGGCTGGTTACATAACAATATCTTTACATATTAGTATTTGTATACTTTTTTCATTACTAGCCCACATCATTATACGAGGATTCAAGATTTCGAGTTTATTTATGGGTTATAAATCATAATTCTATTTGTATAGTGGATTTCGAATAAATTATTTATATATACATTGAATTTTAACACTAATATACGGTTTAGACCGAACTCGTAACTTCGACTACACCCTCGTCGATTGACTAAGTAGCTGCAATATTGTTGAAATAGATGTAACAATGGGGTTTGTATTTGCAATTAGTTGTTCCTTCTTTTGTTCTTCTCTTTTTTCTTTTTTTGTCTATTAATCTATACTACACAAAAGGACAGTTCCGAATTACGCAGGGTCAGGGGAAAGGCCCAATCTGAAGGGGCGTAATGTAAATTGTCTATCTTAACGCAAACATCAATTGCTATTATACGACTTGAACCAATAACCTATAGAACACGAAAATAACTTTACTTTTGCTTCTTTTCTTCTATTACTCTATACTATTTTTTTTAGGACTGAAGTACGTAGGTCTCCATACCTTAGGGAGGTAGTTGAGTTTTTTTATGAACCTTTTTGTAGAATTTAGAGGATTTTGAATCCTAGAAATAATTAATCATCAAAATTCTTGTCTACTATGTGAGGCCAAAAATAGTTGGAAAAGGAGAGAGAGATAGAGAGAAAATGACATATCAACTAAATAGGCCTGGCAACCAAAAATTAGAGTGGGCTACTTCTCTATATAGCTGTCCCTTCTTCACAATATATATTGTGGTCCTAACCCAACAAGTTCCTATCCTTCATTTATATATCATACCCTCTTGTTTCACCCTTTATCTATAAAGACATCTTCACCAATAATAATAATAATAATAATAATAATAATAATAATAATAATAATAATAATAAAAAATTGCAAGTTTGTAGGTGTATCTCATAATTAATTAACTTTTTTCCTCAATATTAATTTCTATACATGTGTTTTGCTCCCAGAAACAGCCTCTCTACCCTTTTCCGGGTAGGGGTAAGGTCTGGGTACACTCCACTCGCCCCAGACCCCACTAGTGCGATTTTACTGGGTATATTGTTATTGTTGTTGTGTTTTGAAATTAGTAATAAGATCGAAATCTCGCAAGGGTTTGGATTTTTTAAGAAAAATTTTCTTAGGAGAAGTTATTTTTTCGATATTTGACTGAATACAAAACTGTATCGGCAAAATGTTGATTTAAATGAGTTTGGAGTATTTGCACCATTAGTAAAAGAAATATTTTTTTTTGGTGGAAAATATTTTCATTAGAGATAAAATTACAATACCAAAGTATAGAGCCCATTCTCAAAGTAGAAGTTTGAGCTTTTTATTATATTTAAGTATTAATTAATTTAATAAAAGAGATAAGAGAGAAAAAAAAAAGAAAAAAAAAAACGAAAACAAGAAAATTATTGGGGACCAGACTGCAAATAGGCTTGGGCCATGTGAGCAAAATTAAGGACCCTATGTTCATACTACTGTCCTACACCTACATGCTTAATATGATGGAATGAATTTATGAATTTAGGGTCATTAATGAATCTTTTATATTGCATAATTGAAGATCATTATTTATCCTTTCCCTGCTTTCATTTACTAAGACCTCATTTGTCTTTTTTAAGATTAATACGTCTGAATCTGAATACAAATCTGAATATCAAGATGTGTATTAAGATTAAGATATTTGAATCTGAATACACATCTGAATATATTAAGATGTGTATTAAGATCATAATAGAAATAATTAATACTGTTTGATTTTTAACATATGAATGTACAAAAATTTATTTTTATTTGAAAATTAATAAATATAAAATACAAATGAAATACTAACTAATCTAATATTCTATCAATAAAATATATAATTTTTTTAAAATATGATAGTTGTTGGTGGTGATGGCTAACGGGTGAATGCCGACTAGAGTCGGTGGTAGTTTTGGTTGATGATGGTGGTTCATGCCAGTAGCTAGTAGTGATTGGTAGTGGTGGCGATTATGATTGAGGATGGTGGTGGTGGGTGGTGATAGTTAATAATGTCGGGTGGATGTAGTAGTTGTGATTGAGGAAGATTGTGGGTGGTGATAGGTTATAATGATGGGCAGTGCCGGCTGTGGTTGTTGATAGTGATGGGGTGGTCAGTTGTGGTAGTTGAGGCAGATGAGTGTTGATTGTGTGTGAGAATGATGGTGGTCGGAGTGGTGGGGATAGTAGGTGGTGATGGTCGATAATGGAGGCTATGATTGAGGATGATGGTGGTGGTGGCATGGGGGTAGTTGATAATGGTAGGCGGTGGTGGCAGTTAATAATGAATATGTGATAGCATCTTAATGAAATTAAGTCTCTGTTATAGATCTTAATCATACAGACCTATTCAGACCCATTAAGTGGTTGTGAAGTAAAAAAAATAAACACACTTAATGATTAAGATCTGAATAATTAAGATCTAGACTTTAAAAACAAACGCACTTAATATCTGAGATTTGAATGATTAAGATTCATACCTCCGTTAAGTGCAAACAAATAAGGTCTAAGGATAAAGGATTTTTTAAAACACTTCTTTGCAATCATTAGTTCAACTTTTAATATACATAGTACACATATACATAAATATATATATATTTTCATCTCATGTGATTTGATTTGATTGAAAAAAAATATAAAATATTAAGTCCATAAATTTAGTTTTATAGAGAATAACATTAAAAAATACATAAATTTTTTTAAAAAATCTATTAAATTCTGAAAATTTTATAAAATAATAATAAAGAGTATATATGTCAACTCAAAATCAAGTTCCAAAGAAAGTAATCAAAATATATGGCATTTTCCAAGGTAATGCAATTATGCTTTGTCTTTTCAATCTGTTAAAAAATATCCAGCAGCATAAGGCATTCACCAAAAGACAAAAACTACCTTTGTTTTGCATGCAATTTCATGCACCTCCCTGCTATATGCTAAATGATGGTCCCCTAACCCCAACAAGATCAAGAAAATTATTAAGAAACTCTAATCATAAGCTTAACTAAATGTCAACTCTAATTATAACTTCCTTCAAAAACTTACATGTACATCACTTCCAACAATCACTGCTACTTGTAGGGGCGGATGCTGCTTTTCGGGTACGAGTTCAGCTGAAACCATCACTTTCGACATAGAGTATGAATTTATATGTAAAAACCTACTAAAGTCTCAACAACTATTAGGTTCAAACCCATAATTTTAACAGTACTATGAGTTCAATGCTAAAATTCTTATAAACTAAACCCGTTAAAACTTAAATCCTGAATTTGCCTGTAACTACTTGCTAATGCCACACTCAATTTGATATTATCTTATATTGCATTTAATTAGAATTTCATTTTCAATATAAGTGATATCGGTATAATTTTATACTGTAATTCTGTTACTATTTTATATCGAATTCAATACGTGATTAGCTTTACGAAAATAACACATAAACGACTAAAATAACCTCGATTTAATCTTTCTATTTAAAATTAACTCTAAAAACAAAGCTAAAATTGTAACTTTGTATAATTGTATTGTACACTATGTATTCAAACATCCAAAAAAAAAGGATATACACTAAATAATCTAGTAGTCGTAATTACATTATCATGTACATTATAATTTTTACGTTATAATACCGGCATAACTTATTTACCGACCAGGTAACTTCTTATAGTTGTTTGGCGTCGTTTGGTATGATGAATAAGCAAAAATATTATGGTATAAGAATTTAGTACCACTTTATTACTTGTTTGGTTACTAGTCCTGGAATAAATTATCTCAAAATTAAAAATAGTATCAGAATAACTTATAGCTACCGGTTGATGGAATAGTATTCCTATGATAAGTTATCCCATAATAAAATTGACAGCCCCAATATTAACACAACATATCAAACAATCAACCAGAAATAATATGGAATAACTAATCTCAAATAACAGCCAAACTGGTTTCATTGTTTCTCAAAGCTTTAAAACCACAACAGCTGTTCAGTTCTTATTATTGACATTACCATAATTGCTTTATAGTGAAACATTGAGAACTGTGCTCTCTATAGCTTTTAGTTGCAAAGACATCCTAGACTTATGTGTTATGTCCTCTGCTCTTTTCTGTCTTTCTCTGCCACTCTACTCTTCTTTTTTCTACCTTAGCTTTCTATATACATTTTTAACTACCACCTTCTTACTTTACTTCTTTATTCCCTCCATTTCCTTGTTTGATTGATTGGATTCCTTAAGATTTTCACCCTTCTAAAAAAGTACAACACTTTCAATGAAAATTTATCAGTTTTAAAATCACTTCACAGTTATATTAATTATAAGTACTTTCTTGCATGGACTACAAAGGTTCTTGACATAGTTGCCTTTTTTACTTTCAAGATTTTGTTACTTAACTCATTTTCAAGAATTCTTGGTTTCAAAAGAGTGATGAGGGGTTTCAAGAATTTAAGTTTGTTGGTGTTTGGTTTATTGTTGCTGCTTCATTTTGGTGTTTGGTGCAATGGTGATAGTGAAAATATGGCAGCTCCAATGGAGAAAGATGAGATAAATGCTCTTTATTCTGCTATTCAAGGTTTTGTTGGTAAATGGTGGAATGGTTCAGATCTTTATCCAGATCCCTGTGGTTGGACTCCTATACAGGTTCATCTCTTCTTTCACTTTTCTTTTCTTATGTGCAAAAAATATATTAAGATGTCTCTATTTAGTTACTTTTTGACTATGGAATCTCTTTGGAAAAGTGGCCAGGCAATCCGGTGCAAAAAGCATCCCGAATTTACGCAGGGTCCGGGAAAGCGTTGCATCCTAAAGGATGTAGTGTAGGCAGCCTACCCTGATGCAAATATTAGTTGTTAATTTCACGACTCGAACCCCCGACCTATATGTCATACGGGGACAACTTTACCGTTGCTCAAACTTCCGGTAAAGTGTTAAAAGAAGAGAAAAAGGCAAAAAGAACCTAACCTTTTGAGTCTTAGATGCCATGTTATTGAACTCTTTATATGTGGAAAGTCAAAAAAATATAAAAAATTGTTCATAAGGTTCTATCTTTTCTGATGTGAAGCTCCTAATATATCTAAAGGGGAAAGGAAACTAAGTAGTTTGTCCTTGACTAGAAATGACTTGTGATTGTAAATATTGTTCAAAAGCATGAAGTGAATCTTTTTTTCTGAAATTACCATATGATAGATACTCAAGAAATTGAATTAAGTTGTTCATTTGATCATTATTTTCTCGGAATAATTGTACTTGGAATGAGGGCCATGAATTTTTTTTGATGAACCAACTTCAATAATGACCAGTACATTCTTGCCTTGTTTTGTTTTAGCATTTTGTCAGACCAACAGAGAAAGAATATGTTTGAAAAACCAAAGATAACACAGGGCTGGACAGAGAGATTAAATTAAAAGAAAATTTCTTTAGCTTCATATTTTTCTGATTTTTGTTTTTATTTCCTTTGCAGGGTGTGTCATGTGACTTGTTTGATGGTTTTTGGTATGTTACTGACTTAAACATTGGACCTATACATGATAATTCCCTAAGTTGTGCACCAAATGTGGAATTTAGTCCCAATTTATTTACACTAAAGCACCTCAAATCCCTTTCATTCTTCAATTGTTTCGTTTCGCGACACCATCATCCGATTTCAATCCCTACAGAAAGTTGGGAAATTCTTGCTAATACCTTAGAGTCACTCGAATTTCGGTTAAATCCTGGTCTAATTGGACAAATTCCCACAACATTTGGAAGGTTAAAAAAACTACAATCTTTAGTACTAGTAGAAAATGGATTATCTGGTGAATTGCCAACAAATCTTGGGAATTTAGTAAATTTGAGAAGGTTAGTTATTGCTGGAAATAAGCTTAGTGGTAAAATCCCAGATAGTTTTGGAGGGTTCAGTCAACTTTTGATATGTGATTTAAGTAGAAATTCACTATCTGGTTTTTTACCTTCTGCATTATTTGGAGGTTTGGTTTCACTTTTGAAACTTGATTTGAGTAACAACAAATTACAAGGCAAAATCCCAGAAGAGGTAGCAAAATTGAAGAATTTGACACTTTTGGACCTTAGTAACAACAAATTATCAGGTGGATTGACTAAGTCAATTCAAGAAATGACATATTTGGAAGAGTTAGTCTTGTCAAAAAATTCAATAGGTGGAGATTTGGAGATTCTTGATTGGTATAACCTGAGAAAGTTAACAGTTTTGGATCTGTCCAATATGAATTTGACAGGTGGAATTCCAGAGTCTATAGCAGACCTAAAAAGGCTAAGATTTATGGGTCTTAATGATAATAAGCTTAAAGGGTATGTGCCAAAAAGTCTTGCAAATCTGGCCAATGTAAGTGCTATTTACTTATATGGTAATAATTTGACAGGTGAACTTCAATTCTCTGAGTTATTTTATGGGAAAATGGGAAGGAGATTTGGTGCATGGGAAAATCCAAATCTTTGTTACCCTTTTAGTTTGATGTCAACAAGGTATGTTCCATTTGGGGTAAAACCATGTGAGCAAGAGGTCAATTTTGTAAAAGGGGCTAACCTTGCAAAGTCCAAGTTGGTAAATGGGAATGTCATTCAGAATTCTCATTCTATGGCATCTTTGAATGATGATGGGATTTGGAGAAGTTTTTTAGTTGAACTATTTATGGTTATTTTACTATTGAACTTTTGGCCCTGAAAAAAGGAATATGGATTTTAGAAAAAGATGACATTGTCAACAGTAATCAACCTTTTACCTTTTGTTTCTTTCTTGATATGTATTCCCCACATTTTGCTTTTGTCTTTTAATATATGAATGAATGTACATATTTGACCCTTGTTAGATATAGACAAAATTCCATTTCGGTTTACATATTAGTCTTCATTCAAATGTTATGGTTTTCAATTTTTAAATGAGTGAAGTACAACTAGAGGCATAACATGTGTAAATCAGTCCGAAGTACAAAATGTCGTATTTATGCTGGCTTCGGGGAAAAGTCTCACATATAAAGGTGTGATATGGACAGTTTATCCTAATTCACGCATTAGTGCATGCTTTCCAGCTCGAACTCGTGACCTATAATTTACAAAAACAATCTTACCATTTCTTCAAGGCTCACCTACAGAGGCATAACATGTGTATTAGAAGAAATTTAGAAACAAAACATGACTATATGAAAACTGAATTTCAAGGAGCATATACAAAACTATCACAACTTCTATAATATTAGTTGAATTTTATTTATTCGACCGTAATAGTAGTGATGGAGGAGACAATAATACTGAGCTAATGGTACCAGACGCGGACCTATGGTATAGAATGAGGGGTTACCAACAGCCGTAATCTTCAGCAAAAATTTCACGAATACATCTATATGTCTTTAATATATAATGATATATTAGTAGTGACATTCTATATATGGAGCAATTTTTGGTTGGATTTAAATGTATACCCGTTATCTTTAAATCTTGGGTCCGCCTATGAATCGTACCTTCACCTTGAGCAATGGCACCAATAGCCCGTTTGGCTAAGCTTCTTTTTGGCCAAAAGTGCTTCTTTTTTTTTTGTCAAAAGCACTTTTGGCCAAAAATTGAGGTGTTTGGCCAAGCTTTTGGAAGGAAAAAAAAGTGCTTTTGAGGAGAAGCAAAAGCAATTTTAGAGAAGCAGAAAAAAGTAGCTTCTCTCCAAAAGCACTTTTTTGAGAAGCACTTTTGAGAAAAATACACTTAGAAGCAGTTTTTTAAAGCTTGGCCAAACACTAATTGCTGCTCAGAAGTGTTTTTCAAACTAATTAGCCAAACACAAACTGCTTCTCACCAAAAGTACTTTTGAGAAAAGCACTTTTGAAAAAAAGTACTTCTCATAATAAGCTGATTTTTGCAGCTTGGCCAAACGGGCTACGAATGCCAAGACATTAAGGGGTCGTTTGGTATAAGGTATAAGAAGGTATAAGGGTGACATAAAAATTTAGTACCACCTTAATACTCTGTTTGGTTAGTAAACCGGGTATAAGTTATCCCGGTGTTAATTTTAACACTGGGATAACTTATACCTTATAAAAGGTGGGGTAATTAACACCGGTATAACTTATACCTTCTTCTTAGAAATTATACAATTGTCATTCTTAATACAACATACCAAACAATGAATAAACAACAATTCTAGCATAACTAATCCCAGCATAACTTATCCTAATATAACTTATACCGGCATAACTTATACCGGTATAAATCATATTCCAACCAAAACGATCCCTAAAGGTAACTAGTAATTCTGTTCATTTTTCTAACTCTAGCAACTTTAGTTTTTTATTTTCTAGTTAGCAAAGCAGACCAAATAAAGCTCCAAAAAGTACGTACTTTACTTTTCTGCTAAAGAAATGAATGAGTCAAAAAACTGTTAACTCTACTTTTGGCTTAGTCAGCATTAAAATTTTTAACAATTGGTTACTTTGCAATCTTGTTTCAATTGGTATGACTCTGAAATGATAGAGGGTTTACCACCCACCGGTGGAGAATGTTTGGAATTTTTCACCCTTATAAAAAATCTCGGGTACTACTGACTTCAGAATTTTGTGAGCCGAGCGTCTATCAAAAACACCTCTCTATTTTCACAAGGTACGAATAAGATTTATGCATACATTATCCTCCCCACAGATCATACATATGAGATTATACTGGATTTGTTGTTGTCGTTAATTACTAAATTGAGAATAAATAACTTATTGGTAGAAAGCGCGTATACGGGGCCATTAAATTTTTGAACACTTAATGTTAGAGAAGCAAATTAGAGGGAGGTTTTGGAGAGTTGGAAGTAGGGGGTGAAGAGGGTATAGCTAGGCGTATTTTATAAATATCAACAAAGGTTGTGGTAGAGTACTGATAAGTATTTTTTTCATTTTTAATCAGAGGTCCTAGATATGAAATTGCTTTTATTACGGATCGTTTTACCCTCCAATGTAAGACATTCAGATGCGAATATAAATTTAATTGAATCTCAATTCGAATACCAGACACTGGATAAGAAAAAAGGCGCTTTGTTAGTTAGGATGTGGCAGTGCATTTGTGGTGTTTAGCAGGAGAAGCATTCTTGTTTATGGAGTAGATTTCAACAGTCTGCACATATAGTGTATGGTACAATTTTGAGTGTGGTCCTAGCTTTGTGTGGTTAAAGCCAAAGGGAGCACAAGATAGATGATGATGATGAAAAGGAAGGACACTTTTTTCAAGGTTAGATGAATTTAAAGTTTTTGTCAGCTTAGCTACTGCCCTGCTCTTGATCCAGGCTTATCTTGTTCTACTAGTTTGGTTTCATCTCCTCCTAGAAACCATCATATCAAATGCTTCCCTTTTTCTTCTGCAGTTCGGTGCATAAAATATTTTGTGTTCATGTAGAATTTGAGAAAAAGTCACATTCTAAAGATGTGATGTAGACAGTCTACTCTAATGCAAGCATGAATGACTGCTTACACGGCTCGAACTCGTGACCTATAGGCTGAGGCGGATCTAAAATTTTAATTTGATGGATTCAACATTCAAAGTTTTTAACATTTGTAACACTCCTCAAATTTAAATAAATTTCAAGACTCGCTAAATATAGAATTTAATTTTCCCCTTAATTATACTTCTATTACGGATTTAAACCCTTGTGAGTAATTTTGAGTTACATCTTATTTATAAATAAGTGGCTATACAATTAGGGAATATTAATAATTTTAATATTATTAATTATTAAAAGTAGGTATCATTAATTATTAGTTAAGTAAAATAATAATAATAATAATAATAATAAAAATGGACAAAATAACCAAAGCCCTTAAGCCCAAATCTGTTGAAAAGCGTAAGCAGACTTAAAGCCTTAAAACTTCAACGAAAAAGAAACCCCAAGCAAACTTCTTCTCAAAAAAAAAAAAAAACGAAACCCCAAGCAGACTTCTTCTCAAAAAAAAAAAAAAAAACGAAACTCCAAGCAGACTTCTGCGTTTAAGAAACAGACGCACGTCCCAGCGAAAATACTCACGCAACCAACGGAAAATTCTAGGGTTCTTACCAACCACTAATTCTTGAATTCAGGTATGTAAATTTTCTATTGCCAATTATCCTACAGTGGTAATAGGTAAGAATTGAATAGCTAATCTCCTTCTTCCTCTATATCAGCAGTAAATTACATGTTTAGGTGTGAAACTTTAAAATTGATTAAAATGCACTGGTTGTTGTAGAATTGATTGTTTGACTGGTGTCAATTGGACTGGGGCCTACGTATTGGCTCGAGAAGTTTTGAGGTGAGTTGATATAACCCTTTACTAAAGTGGTTTAACTCACAAAAGCACGCACACAAGGTGTTTGATGAATTGCATAAAAAAGTTAATATATACTTAATTGGAGTAGTAAGTACCTATTAGCTTAGAATTATTTTCTAGCTAAAGTTTAGATGATTATTTGGATATATGTGCATAAATTTCAGATTTTTATGTTATTCTTGTATGCCATTTTCATGTTGAAAATTTATGAAGGATCAAGAACCTTTATAAATACTTTTGAATGTTTATTTCATTCTTATGTCATGCCTTACATTTAAGGATACCAGTATGAGTATGTATAAAAGATTTAGACTTGAAAAGTCACAAGAAGAAGCTTTAGAAAGAAAAGATTTTTGGGAGTATCCTTTATTCTGAGAAGGGGTCATCGTCCAGGCTTAGGGTCCTGACCAAGGCGTTGACTTCCTGAAACTACTTGTGCCAAAGTAGGGAGCACACGAGCCGAAGGTCTCGTTGCTGAGAATTTACTTAGCCATGCTAAGGTATGAGACATGAGCGCTGAGAACCATGAAGCGACTGGCACCTCGTGGATTGGGCCTATTCGATCAGGTTGGGATCGAACCCGTGCCGATCACACGGTGACTAAGACAGAGTTAAGTCAGGATAGTTGGAACTCCCAAAGTATAAAGTGAAGTATTTTTTTTAAGAAAGAAAAAGAAAATAATTTCTTTTAGTATATTCATAAACAACTATTATGCAATTATTTAGAATATTCTTATAAGCTTTATGTTTTACATGCATTTAGAACCTTTGCTCATAATGTATATGTTATTAAAGTTTCGCCCCCTGTTGTTGAGACTCACTGAGTACAGTGGATGGTACTGACGTTCTCTTTTGGGAACCTACGTTGGTCTGCGGTACAACGTAGGAACCGAATTTGCAGGCGAACAGGTTACGAGTTAGGACTTCCTTATCTTCCAGTGCTATTGGTGAGCTCCGCTTTTGTTCGTGGAGTATTCCTTAGAGTCATCTTTATTTAGTTATTTCTTTGTTACTTAAAGAACTGGCCAGGAAATCTCATGTCCTGAGCAGTGCGTCAGTTTATTAGTTGAGGCTTCTAGACATAGTCGTTGGGTTAAGATACAGATGTTTTTGATAATAACTTAGCAGTAATTCAATAGTTACTATGAATAAAGTTTTGGAGTTGATTTGTTTAAATATTTACATTAATCAAAAGTATTTGGTTAGAGTATTGCCTTGTTGAATATAAAGTTTGGAGTTTAATAGATTTGATAAGCAGAGATGGTTCGCTCGGTCATGTTTAGTGATTGAGTGTCGGTCCCGGCTTGTTCAGAAAATGGGTCGTGACAAACTTGGTATCAGAGCCTCAGGTTTATGGAGTCCTAGGGGTCTATGAAGCCGTGTTAGTAGTGTCTTGTTTATGTGTATGAAGCGCGCCATACTGTTGATAACCAATTTTTCCCTAATGTACTTTTATATACAAAATACTTTCAAAAATAGCATGTATATGCATATGTAAACATGCCCAAGTGTTTTGGTATGTTTCCTAATTTTTAAAATTAAT